CAATAGCTGTGCGTGTCGGGCAATAGTGGGGAGACAGTTTCGGCAAGTGGGAAAGAACGTCGCGCTTTAGAAGTATAGTTCCGAATATGATTGTAGACGTGGTGGGGCGATGATTGGAGTGGGGGCATGCCCGCCGGCTGGGCGCCCGCGGGCAGCATTTTGCCCACCCCTGGTCTAGATAATATCAATCTCTAAATTACTCGCATAAAAGGACAATCAGAAATACGCAATTGCCTTACCAATGGCGTGTGCATATTAGATGAACCCTTATCCGTATGTGGCACGTCCTGCTTCGTCGCTTGCGTGGACGAACCGTGTGACTTCGCGGCCGCGGTTTGTTCCTGCTCGGTTCTCACATCGCGCAGAAACTTGGTGAGGTTCTTCTCAAAGTCGGCCGGGATCTCTTGAGGTTTCTCCGCGACGGGGAGAGCGACGGGCCCGTTTCTCTCGCCCTCGGACTCGCTGTCCGTGTCGGAGCCCAAACTTATCACAAAACGCTGAGTGTCGGACGCGTGTAACGATATCTTCGATGCGCTGGGCTTCGCTATCGGGGCGTTGTTATCGAGCTTGCGTAGGTTCAGTCTTCTCTGCACAATCATGTTCTGATACTTCTTGGCGTTGTTCACCACCTTCGTGCTCGTGAGCGCTTTCCTCGCCGCTTTCTTCGGCACACTCTTCGGCAGATTGTCCGCGCTGCCGCTTCTCTTCCTGCTTCCGTTCTGCGTCGGGATAGGTACATTATTAATCTTCTTTTTGACGACCTCCGACGAAGTTATCGGCTTCGACGGCAACGACGAAGTGGATGGCATGGCGCCTGTCGATGTTTTTAACGCAGGCGTTTGGACGTTTGTCACAGCAGAGTTTACAACAGAAATAATCGGGGTGACCGAAGGACCGATGTCTGTTGTCTTAGTTCGTTTTAGAGAAGCTAATAAGATTGCACGTAATTCGTCTTCGTCCTCGTCAACGCTTTGTCTTCTACTCCCATCGCTTTTCGTGTCTTTGTCGGACACGCTAGAGTTGGAATTGTCAAGAGTGGGATTTGTTGACAAACAACGGGACTCGACGTGTCCCTCCTGCGAATATTGGACGAGCGTCGACAGCGCCTCGTGATTGCTCTTCTCCATGTCTCTCTTCCTTATCACATCACCGGAGTTGACAAACTCCTGAGTATCAGGAGTGACACTCTGCGGTCTCGACGATTCTCCAATTCTCATCGAGCTCTCTTGTGCATTGTCGTCGCTTCTGCCTGACTCGGTCGTGGTCTGCTGATCTAGAGCGGACGCAATATTTGTATCTTCCTTCGCACCAGCATCCGAACACGAGCTTCTTTCGTTCTCGAGCAACGGCACACTGTCGAGACCCTCGCGGCCGTTCTTGCCCTGCGTTGCGGCCTCGCCACTCGCGGATGGAGTATCAGCGGAGTCTGGATGTTCCAACTCGGCCGCCTCGCAATTCTCTCCGAACAAGTCTCTCGGATCCTCTGACGTGTCCTCGTTCGTCGAACTGTCGAATGAGGCAGGCGTGGACAAGACGGGCGCGGACTTTTTCGCCACTTGCAGTCTTATCGGTTTGAAGACGCTACTCGCATCCGTAACGATGACAGTCACCGGCTGCATCTCGGCGCTCTTGAAAGCCGGCTCGGGATGCGCCGGCTCTGGGTCGCGCTTCTTCAGACACTGTCGCAACCGCTTGTTCGACTTGAGGATCGGCGCGGGCACCAGCGTCCTGTTGATCAACGTCGGTATCTTGTTCGTGTCCTTGGTGATATCCGGGACACCTTGCATGTACAGAGGCTCCTCCACGGCCGGCAAATTTCTTTCGTCACCAAGAGCATCGTTGGGAGAGCTCAACAGATCAGCGGATCCGTCGTTCTCCGGGAGATCGTCGATCGTTATCATCGACTCGTTAGGCGACACGATCTCAGCGTATCCCGCGGCGTACACCGTTGCTGCTGGCGCATCTGCGGCGGAATACCCGGAGACCGTCTGCGCTTCGTAGGCGGACTTGTCATTTTTGAACGCAGAGTCCATATTCACGAATACAATATCGCCGTTCGTAGGTTGCTCCACTGCGATCCGCTGCGTCTGAACTGGAGAAACGAGAGTGCCGTGGGGAGAGAGTGGAAGAACGTTATTAGGTATACCCGGCGCGATGTTCGTCGAGGAATAGCTTCCCTCTTGACAGCAAATTCTATCCATTAGATCAGAGACGCCGTTGCCGTGAGGACGTTCCGGTTCTTTCTCGGCCGCGTCGTTAAAATCCGAGTAGATCTCGCTGCTGTACGGCAACGGCGAATACGCGAAGTACTGCGCAGTTGTCATTTGGTAAGGCAAGTAGGTCTCGTAGGGCTTGACGAAGTTCGTCGCGAGCTCGTCCTGCGCGTCGTCGCAGACCGATGGGCTATCCATCCTCTCGTTTACGTTAATGAACGAGACGTCGGATGGCTCGATGCCGAGCAACGCCGTGTCGGTAGGCATGTCCTCGGTAATCTTGTCGGTCGGCGAGTACGGCAGCTTCTCCTTCTCCCTCTCGACGTCGGTGTCGAGATCCATGTCCTCGATGTGATTACTGTCGCTGGACAGGGTGCGCGGCGGCGACGCGTACTCCAGCAGCTTGTCGTCGGGCACGGGTATGTCGTCGAGGAAGCTCGTGGTGAACGGACTTTCGCTGCGGGTGGACCTCTTGGCCCTGATGCCGCGTCTGACCCGATTCTGGTGTTTCTTCATGACCGCCGAGCGGAGCGCGATCATGCGCAGCTGCAGGGCCTCCTCGTCCTGATCGTCGTTGCTCTCTGCCAATTTCTTCTCCAGGTCTTCAACGTCCACCGGATGGTCCGAGGACCTGCTGGACTTCTTCTGCTGCGTCTCCAACACCTTCTGCCGCAGCAACGCTATATCTTCCTCGTCGTCGGTGTCGTCAATCGTCTCGGTCGGGATGATCTTCGATTTTCTCTTGAGATGTATCACGTGCTGCTGCTCGACACTGCCGGCTTTCCTCAGAATGTTCGACAGTTTCTCCTTCAGCGACGATTCTTTGCCCCGGTTGACACTCTGTTCCGACTCGTGCGCGCCTCTGGAGTCAAGATGCTTCACCTTTTTCAACAGCCGCGTCACGTCGACGTGCCTGTCGACGTGGGCGCGAGCGGGCGGCGGTGGGCTCGGCTTCGACGACGGCTTCTTGGCAGTTCTCGCGGGCGAGTGACGCCGCGGACTGTGTTTCGGCGACCTGACCTTTCGCAGGGACCTCTTTTGTACTGGCGACACTCTGGAATGATTCTGCGGGGACCGGGACGATCGGATCGACAATCGTGTGGCCACTGGCGACCGGTGTCTTCGGATCGGCGATTTCGGGACCACCTTCGATCTGCCGCTCGACCTGTGAGCCGCATTTACTTGTCTATATATTTTCAGCACGTCGACATCAGCTATAGGGATGTCCATGGAGGACGGAGAGATCAATTCGTCGATAGTGAGGGGCTCGTAATCCTTTTTCTTTCGCTTTTTCTTTTTCACTTTGGCTTTCGACCGATTGGACGTGTCTGTGAGACCGACGATCTCCATGTCGCTGTCGCTGGAGATTGGCACTAGGTCGTCGTTTTTCTCCAGCAACGTCAACGCGTGCTTCGTCGCGGCACTTCCCACTTCTCTGACATGGTGACGATTTTCCTTCCCTTTGACTGGATCTTACAAAATAAGATTAACTGCTACTTGATTAAAACGGTATGCTAGTATAGATTGGAATCATCCCAGTTATTTATACTTCCCCATCGAGAGACTCATTTTTCATTATACGTTCAGACTCGCGAGACATTTCTCTCAGGTATAGCAATAAAATCGTAACTAATAAAGTCTCTTATATTTCCAATTGTACCAATTGTATCAATAAAGATTAAAAGCAAAGGTATACGTGAAATATTGTAGCAACAATATCGCAGTAAACTATGCCAGAAACAAGATCTCCATTGGAAGGTCACAACGATTGTGTCCTTGCTTCTTTGTTATTATGTACATCTTCGGAATCTATCAAACGGCTGCAGGTAAGTAAACAAACTGAAAAACCCGAGTCTCTCAACGTCGAGCGCGAGATGTTCCCTGCGAGACATAGTTGGGAGGAGAAGAAACGTAATCTCGGACGTGTGCGGTCCGGCGTGGCATTACCTCTTCTGCTCTGGCTCTTGGGATGATACGTCGCATGGCACCAACTAGCGCACTCGCCCCAGGACTTGCAGTCGGGACAAACGCGCGTCCTGCCGACGACGTAGCTGCTGGTCAAGTGGCCCATCCCGCCCTCCTCGGACGAGCTGACGTCCTCCAGCGAGATCTCGCCCTCCTCCTTCTCATCGTCCAGAATGTCGATCGTCTCCGTGCAGCCGCTCGACAGATCGCTCGCCATTATTTCAACTTACCCGGCAGCAAGCGCGACTTGTCCCGTCACTTCTAGGAATCCAATCGCGACGCGCGAGACGCTCCCTGAGACTTGATATCAGTCGCGCGAGATAAAGAAAGAGGGGGATACAAAGGATCGAGGAGATGGTGAATCATTCCGTCAGGCAAACCGCATCCACGGGTAGAAGAGGGGAAGAAGGGACTCACGTATCTTGTCGCAGATTTTTGCACCGTACGAAGAAATGATTTTATGTGTAGAAAACGAAAAGAACAAAAAAAAAAGAAAATGGAATACAAAGACCGCCCGACGTCCCGAAAGTACCGTGGCGACGTGGCGCGAATGCCGCTGCTGCGAATTCAATGGTGCTGAGACGCGATTAATTACCGTGCACTCAGCAGTGTACAATCGCAACCTTGATTAAATACCTTGACCCCCCTTGTCGATCGTCCAACTAATCAACGACGTTCGGGGACCACGGCGGCCATGCTTGCATATTTCTCCGTTCGCATGTGTCACGATGCGCAGCAAGATGAGTTTCCATTATCGCCTAGTTTACATCGAGCGTGTGATATTCGTATCAAAGGGTGCGTTCGGCCATCCGAGCAAACCGCAATAATATTATTATTAATAATAATATTTGTTGCAACCTAAAATTCGGCAGCCGAAAAGTCTGCGGCTAGCACGTTTACAATAGTGAATTTGTTGTTTTTGCTATTTATTGCGACGACAGGTCTGTTCTTTTTAATTGAACTTTTTGCATCCTGTGACGTAGACGGTATTCATAGGCCCGGTATTTATATGGCGAATTCGCTTGTCTGCACACAATACCAGGCAACAGGCAATAGGAATAGAGAATAGAATTTTTAACGCTTTGGATTCGTCGGAAATTTTCTTCCAACCAACCCAACGTATCAGAAATTCTATTCCCTGTTGCCTGGCATTGTGTGATAGGCTTGGATAGGCTTAAGTATATTCTTAATGTGTTTTCTACCAATCACAGAGCCGTATTGGTTAGAGCTACTAGAT